GCGTTCATGTTCACTTTGCACTGAAATGCTGTAACTTATATCTTACTTTAGTCCTGAAACGTTACTGTGGAGAAGGTCAAGCTCTGCCTTCATATAAGTTAACAAGCGGTTTCTGAACGCAGTGTTTGTAGTAAGATGTATGGTTCCTTAAAAAAGTAAAAGTAAAAAATATTCATAATGTGGAACATAGAGCCCAGTTTCACTGATATAGTTTAAATATGATATGAAAACACCTCCAGTTGGGAGATTTTCAAGTCAGATCAGTTGGAACTGTGTAATTATTAAGTAATGATAATAATAATAATCTTTATTTGTAGAGCACTTTTCAAAAACAAGTTACAAAGTGCTTTAACAAGTGTAAAGACAATAATACCCAAGAGACAATAATACAAAAACAATACAAGATGAAAGCAAGAAAACATTGAAAAGACTGAAATACAGATAAATATAAAATTAGTAAAATACAATAAAAATAAAAGGGATAAAATAAAATCAAATAAGATCGGGAAAGGCTCTCCTATAAAAGTATGTTTTAAGAAGGGACTTAAAAGAGTTCACTGACTCAGCCGACCTGATTTCCTCGGGCAGGCTGTTCCAGAGCCTCGGGGCCCTGACAGCAAACGCTTTAGTCCCCTTTAGTCCCCTTTAGTTTTCAGTCGAGACTCTGGAACAGATAGCAGACCTCTGCCCGAGGATCTCAAGGTACGTGCTGGTGTGTATGGGACTAAAAGGTCAGAAATATAACAAGGCGAGAGGCCATGAAGAGCTTTAAAAGTGATCAATAGAATTTTAAAGTCAATTCTAAAACATACTGGGAGCCAGTGTAATGAAGCTAAAATAGGAGTAATGTGGTCATATTTCTTTGTTCTGGTTAAAAGCCTGGCAGCTGAGTTCTGGACAGTCTGGAGTCGATCAATAGATTTTTGGGTTAAACAGGTGAAAAGGCTGTTGCAATAATCCAGGCATGATGAGATGAAGGCGTGTAAAATGGTCTCGGTGTCTTTAAAAGTTAACATAAATCAAATTTTTGCTATATTTCTAAGTTGATAAAAACATGATTGAACAAGCTTTGTGGTGTGCTGCTCGAAATTTAAATTACTATCAAACCAAACACCAAGGTTCTTTGCCACAGGCTTAATGTGATTTACTAGGGAACCAGCAGATGGCAGTATTTGATTTGCCATCTGCTGGGACCCGATGACCAGGATTTCTGTTTTGTCTGAGTTCAGCTGGAGGAAATTATTTGACATCCATTTTTTAACTTCACAAAGGCAGTTGTTAAGTGAACTCAGCATTCCAGGGTCTGTGGATCTGACGGGCAAGTACATTTGTGTGTCATCATCAGCATAAATATGAAAAGAAATGCCATGTTTATGGATAATATGTCCAAGGGGAAGCAGATACAAGGAAAACAAAATGGGTCCTAAGACCGACCCCTGAGGCACACCATATTTAACTGGACAGAACAAGGAGACATAGTTGTTTACAGACACGCAAAACTTCCTATTTGACAGGTAGGATGAAAACCATTCTAGGTCAAAAGCAGCGCTAAGGTCCAGGAGTACCAGGACTGAGCACATACCTTCATCAGCAGACATTAAAAGGTCACTGGTGACTTTAAGCAGGGCAGTCTCAGTGCTGTGGTACTTCCTGAAACCAGACTGAAACTTTTCAAATATTTTGTTATTTTCCAGCACAGTGAGCAGCTGTTTGGACACAATTCTTTCTAGAATCTTTGCAATAAAAGGCAGTTTTGAAATTGGTCTAAAATTATGTGGGAGGGAGGGATCTAAACCAGGTTTCTTTAAAAGTGGGTTCACGCAAGCCGTTTTAAAATAATCAGGGACACAACCAGTAGATAGGGAGCTGTTGAAAACAGAGATCAAATGGGGCCCAACAGAATCTATTACTTTCAGTAAAAACTTTGTAGGTATTACATCAAGTGGGCTGGAGGACACTCTCATTTGTGATACTGTTTTTAAAAGCTCAGACAAGTCGATGTGATAAAACTCATTAAAACTCTCTTGTTGCTGGTGAGAAACCTCTGAGTAAGAGGCCGCGGGGGTAATAGAGGCTCTGATTGACACCACCTTATTGGTAAAATAAGATAAAAACAATTCACAGTCATCATTACTTCCAGCTGAGGCACAAGGAGGGGTTGGGTTTACCAGCTGATCCACAGTCTTAAACAGAAACCTGGGATTGTGTTTATGTGTAGTAATGAGTTCAGAAAAATAGTGTGTTCTCGCATCCTTAACCAAGTTATTGTATTTAATTGATAAATCCTTCAGACTGAGGTAATGGACTTGGAGACTGGATTTTTTCCATCTGCGCTCTGCTTTCCTGCATTCCCTTTTTAGGCTGCGAATGCTGTCATTTATCCAGGGTTGCTTACTAGCTTTAGACGTAGGCCTAACCTTTAGAGGAGCAGTAATATTTAGTGACGACAAGCAGATATGATTGATGTGATCGACCAGATTGTTGGTGTTGGAATCAGACAGGTGTTGGCTTTGGCTCTAAAAGAATGCGCAAAACTTTGAAACACTTTGTTCATTAAAGAAGCGGGAACACACGGAGCTTGGTGAGGCGGCATGAGTAACAGGCGAATCACAGCTAAAAACAATACATCTGTGGTCAGACATGGTCATGTCCACTAATTCCACAGAGGAAATGCTGACACCCAGGGTAAAAACCAAGTCCAGTGTATGACCACGGTTATGTGTTTGCCCTTTGACATGTTGTTTGAAGTTAAAAGAAGTGGTTATATTTAAAAAGTCAGTTGCATTAACATTGGTGGGGTCATCAACATGAATATTAAAATCGCCACAAAGAACAATTCTGTCATAACAATTCTATTATAAGTATGTATGATAAGTATTTAATATGTTTATATTAAACTTATATCTGTTGTAATCTGTCCTCTCAAGTGTACCTGAGTGCTGTTTCCTCGAGCTTCAAAGACATTTTGGTAGGATGTATCCTGAAATAGTGTTGATGCATGGCTGAATGTTTCATTTTATATTACATCACATATAATATTCAATTTATCACTGAACATTATCATTTTTTATGATGGGAGGATTTATTGCAGAAATGTTGGCTTAGACTCCATTAAATTAGCTAGATGTACCAAATAAACTGGTAACTAAGTCTTAAAGACTAAATATCACATATTTCATGTCCATATCACATGTTTGTGAGACGTGTTTACATGGCCTTTATTTTGTAAACTAATAAAAAGTTGGTGTTCATATATTTGTGTGCCCATTAAGGACTGTAGAGAGTGCTGCTGAAGGAATGTCATCATGCCTATAATTACCTGACTTGCGAAAGCAGCTCTGATATTGGTGAGTCAGATAAATTATAAAATATTGTATTTTTTAAGAAAATCAGCATTTGAAAATGTTCTTGTTGACTGGGCTCATGGGAAATCTTTATATTGTTTGTTATATTTGCTCTCGCAGGATCAAACAGAGTATTGAGTGGCACTACAGCTATCCAAGGTGTGTTATGCATTAGCATATTTCTGCATCAAACTGTTGATGCTTGTGCGAATCTCCACATCCCAAAATTGAAAACTGAATACCAACCCAATGAAGGAATAGTCAAATATTTGGGTCCAGCCCTACTGCACTGGCTTCCAAATCTCTTCTATTGTCATGTTTAAGGTTATAGTTAGCTTCTATTTCTCACCCATTGTTTGAGTCACTGTGTTTGTTTAAATTTGACCTGTCTTTTAGTAGTTGCAGCTGGATGGATTTGTTGTTATTGCTATCAATATTATTATTATTTTAGAATTACATTGGTAGAACTGTTACACTTTATGGCTTGATGTGCTGTAAAAATATTTGTATAATAAGGGACACGTGAGATGCCATCCGACCCTCCGTGGCCTCCCAGTGAACCTGCTATCGGATGACTGACGTCTTCAAAACCTGCAATGTAAGTACTCAGTGTACTCACAGAAATGTCAATATCAACGACAAGTAATATGAAATGTAAATGTAATGAAATGTACTATGGAAAACCAACATGAATACCTCATCCAGCAACGGACAGGTTTAAAGAGATGAAAGGATAGGTTTGTGTTTTTTTGTAGTCTCAAAACAATGCTAAAATATGATATGTACAGTGAAAAGGTTATTGTTGGCTATGAGCATCCCCCTTCATAGGCATGGCCAAATTGTTAAAAATTAGGGACAAATCCACTCTTTTCCTTTCATGAAAAAATGTTTCCCAAACCTCCCAAGACCTGGGCTTTGATTCTGTGTGTATTTATATTAATAGCATTGTGAACAGGGCATACTTTTAGGGAAAAATTAGTATGTGCACCCAATGTGTAACAAAGAAGAAACCGACATCAGAACATGTCTGGCGAGCGACCCTAGAAGGCACAGGCATGTGCCCACTACTGAGGACAAATTACGACTAAGTTGAGCAGAATCGAGTATATGGTGCATGGACACAGGATTTTAGGAGGCTAAGTTTAGTTGAAGCTAAATAAGGCTTAAGCAGTCTAGTTAAAAAATTAAATGGATATTGTTGTTAGGTCATTGTGTTGGTTTACTGTTGGAAGGAAGTATCCCACTGCTGCAGCTCAGCAAATAAACACACAAAGACTAACTTCTAAAAAATACTTACGATATGTTTTGTGGCTTGTCTAAGTCAGACTGCTGAAGTATCTTAACTGTTTCTAATAAACTTTAGAATTTTGTCCTCATTCTCTTACAGTTGAATCAGATTAAGAAAGCGTTATAGAGTCAGTATAGACAGAAGGAATCATAACAGCCACCAGTAACTCTTCTGGTGCATGCTCATCTCTAACCGATGAGCATGCAGTGCTAACTTTCTTTTATAATAGCAGGACACTTTACCCCTAGTTGCTCTAGGGGCGTACGACCTCTGACATATATAGCTATAGCTAACTCATGTACAAACTCCTGAAAGCACTTTTGAACTGGCCAATCAGGCCAGCTGTGACGAGGTCCACAAGATGAGGTATGCACGCACTCACACACACACTGACGGGTGACATCATTGCGGCGGCTGATAATATCACTTCCTCCTCCTGCAGGTTCAGCGACCTGTTCGCCCGGGTCGAGGAGTACGAGGATTCCCAGACCAAGCCTCCCAAGTCCCACCGTAAGGCTCCGGCCTCCTCGCCTCGCTCCCGGAAAGGAGCGGTTCTGCCCAACAACAACGAGGAGGAGAGCGCCTCCAGCAGCGTCTCAGTACGTAGCCCCACCTCCACCTGCTCCTCTGTGTGAGGACAACCTGAATCTGCGTCTTGTTCTTTGATTGGTCCATTTCAAATCCACAACGGAAAATTTCATATTTAATGTGTCTGATTTGTGAAACCAGAAAGCAGCTTTGTGTCTTCACCAAGCAGGAACCTCCAGGTTTGAAAAAGGGAAGCCTCAAACCTGCATTCTCTCTAACAGCGAGCACTGGGGCGACTCCACTGGATCGAATAGAAGTGTATGAGAAAATGTGGCTACTTCTCAGCTGATTTATTACCTCAGTAAACACTTTCCTAATAAATTTAGTCTTCTTCAACACAGCATCAGCATCATTTAGTAAATTATGGTCCCATTTAGAGGAAAATAGACCAGAAAGCAGGTGAGGCTTTAGGTCATTACTTTCTATAATGTAACTAAAAGACGTTCTGTTAGCTTCCTGCTCAGCTTCCAGTCTGAAGGGGAGATGTTTGTTAACCTGCTTCACTTCTCCAGCCGTTTGGGAACAACAGACTTTTTTTGGTCTGGAGAAGCTTAAGCATTTATTACCTGACACACCGACACCGTACTTTTACTGCCAGAATATTTTTCTCCTCTGAGATTCACTGTCACTTTCTGTCACTCGGACAATCAAACACACAGAGACCTCCAGATTAAAGGAGCTACTCTGATAACAGCACCTCAGGTAGACGTCCTGCAGGGTTTCCACGGGGTCTTACATTGAAAAAGTTTGTGTTCTAGGTTTTAAATAATTTTAAACGGGTATTTATTTTCCAGCGTCCATGTAACGCCACCTGTAATGCTCATTGAAATGGCCCCGCAGCGCTCAAGAATGTTTTTTCCTCCCATGGTGGTGTAGTTCTTTCTGTCGCTGGTCCAAATATAATTTGCTGTATTACGACTACAAAGACCAGCAGGCAGCTTTCGTGTTATTGCTGCAAATCTTTCGGATTGTACCACAGATATAAAACGGATTTATTTCTTCAGCTATGGGGAAGTGCAAACTGATCGGTTCTTGGATGGAAAAACAGATCTTAGGGCTTAAAGCCAGTTTCTAGCAAAGTATTAGAAGCCTACTGTTGCTGCTTAATGAATGAGCGCCACTATTAAAATTTCACACGATCATTAATGATTAGCAGTTTGCTACGGTAACACTCAACGCATGGCTGCCTCCCTCTCCTCATTCTTCAAATGACGAGCGAATGTAAAAGAGAGAGTGGCAGAAAGTGACGGTGAAAGTTAGCGGAGGATAAGATCAGTGTTAATAGTGTGTGATAGTTAAATTAAAAAGAGAGGACGGTGTTTACTACGGAGAAGCTGACGTTAGTAACATTAAAGCAAATTAGGGATGCAAACTAACGTTAGTCCTTTTAAACTAATGAGGAGATTATTCTTTTGTAATAATTTTGTAATAATACAGAAGGGAGGTGGTTCTCATGTTGCCTATTATTTGTTAATTTCTACAAATGTATAAAGCAGTAAATTAAGAAACAAAAGGCAAATATGAGCTGTCCTATCTGTAATGATTCTGAGGTCATGTGTTTTCCTGCCATTATAACAGCTTGTTGCTGCGCAATGAATGTAAAATCATTGTGGAGAGCATCAAAACTAACCAAATGAATTTTCCAGATCTAATGGTTATAATTCAACCCCAGTAGACTTATTTTAGCAAGTCAGCTTTTGGGGTGTAGTTTATTCCAAATCTGGTCTACAGTAGATTGTCCTACTTATTCACAGATGTGATAATAACAATGTTCCAAAATTATGTGGAATTGCATATTTCTTTATTGGAAAACATAATTTTCTTGGGGGAGGACCCCCAATCCCCCTCACAAAAATACCATCTTAATTTTTACATTATACCGCCCTGTGAAAGCATGTTTTGATCTCCATGGACATTATTTCTATTTTTACTTGTAAATGTACCTGCTTTGCACCTGTCTTGACTTCTCCCTGCACTCACTCACACACACCTTTACCTCTGGTCTCTCACTGCCAACACACCGGCTTTCCCTGCTTCTCTCTGTATCCCTGTCTGCTCCCCTGAGTTCATACATTAGCAGTAGGTTATGTTTTATAAAATCACAGAAAAGACACAGAACTCTTTTATTTATTGTTTTTCCTCCCCCACCGCTGATCCATTTTTCACGTCAGCAGGTCCACCACATGCCAGCTTGTTAATTACTTAGCTTATCAATGTCATCGTCCATCCCGGTGTTCATTGTTGACATTGTCCGATGCAAATATTTGTAGACATCACTCAACCTAATTTGAATACATTGATTTACTCTGCAAGTTATTTTGTGACTGCATTTCCTTTGTGCGTTTCTTTTTTTAAGTCGTGATATAGGTCTTAATTTCATTCATAATGGTCTTTAAAAAGTCTTAAGAAGTCTTAAATTTCACCAGGTGAAACCTGCAGAAACCCTGATATTTTTCCATTACCTCGTCTACCTGACTTAACAATTTGCATAGTGTGGGACTAAGTATTTTAAACAATCTTTATTAGCTACTTTATTTGCTTATGATTCCATAAAAACTCCACCTTAAGTTCCTTTTATATTATTTAAGAAAAAGTGCTGCTGATGGAATAAAATTATGCAGTCGCTTTTTCCACATAAGACAATAAATAAGTAGTAAAAGGACATTTTATTTAGCTCAAGATTCAAGTTATTATCACTTAACACCAAAAAAATCTCATTAAGAATCTGGAAATAGAGAATGAAAACAAATTGATTTTCAAAATTGTTGCTGGTTAATTATCTGATCACGCCTTCAGTTACTTTGTCTATTCAGCTTTATGCAAGATGTGTCTGTTAAATGTAGAAATGACGGGAAGATGTTGTGAGAAGATTACACACTAAAGAGAACTTGAATTGTAATAATGGAGTTGTATTTTTATTTTGGAGGACTACTATCTGAAAATGGGCATTTTGAAATTTTAAGTTTACTAGTAGTAATTTTGTTGAGTGAGTTTCCATTAGTATTGAGTCAAGCATAATACATTTTTGAGGACATTTCCCTCAGAGTATAAGCTGGCACAATTACATTTATTGAGTAAAGAATAAGTGGAATTTAATTTTAATAAGCATCAGTGAATCAATGTAATTAGTATGCCTTAAATGAAAGGTTTATTATTATTACCACTAAAAAAGTTTGAGGTAAACAGTTTGCACAAATATTTTGAGTATTCTGAACTTATTCGGGTTTACAGTGTATAAAGGAATGTTTCAACTGTGAAGGAATAATTACTATGACACAGGATTCCTCGGGTCATTATAGGGTCAATTGCTGAGCTAAAGTAAGCCAAAGGTGACAACAGGTACTATCCAAAAAAGAGGAAGGTCAGACTTTGTTTCTCCTCTTTGCCTCCTTGTCAACTGATTAATGCTGCTTTCTTGATAATGATGCACTGTTATTCATTTGTTAGGTAACCCATGGCCGATATTATCTATTTTTCATAAGTTTTTTAAGTTTCATTACAGACAGACTCCATCCACACTAAAACAATATGATCTCCTCCACACCAGCATTTTAGCTGTGTATCAGAGTTGATCTCCGTCTATATTAAAATGACTGAAAACGCACATGTAGTGGTCGTTCACGTACATGGGCATGCACATGCCGGTGTAAACATGAAGCAGATGGTCTATTCCGTAGTTACAGAAGATTTGGCAAAAGAATAAAGTAATGGAGACTAAGAATCACCAGATTTTATTTTGCATGGACGAATAACGAGCTGAAACGGTTACTGAATGTAACATAGGAGTTTAAAGCGACGCAAAATAGACTGGGAGTTGTTGCAAAGTAACAACGGCATGCACAGTACAAGTGTAGGATATGTGTGTTATTGCATGGTACAAAATATTTTAATAAAAATACCAAATCAAAAACTTGGCAGTAGCGTCAGCTGTTTCTGCTTTGACTTATAAGACCCAATCACAGAGCCAAACGTGAGTGTCTGCGTCATCGTTTTAAATGTACTCTGTTTTTGCCCGTGCACTAAAACTACCAGTTTTAAAACGAAAAACGGGGTCAACAGTTTATAAACTTCTCCGTTTTAGATCTTCATTTTCGCCGTTTTAGTCTTGACGGGAGGTTCAAACATAGCAAAAGGTCTCTGTTTTGACGCACGATGTGTCTTGATTTGAACCAATAACTAATGCTCTTCACACATAGATGTGAACGATGAACTTATCTGGACACATTTTTGTAGGTGTAAGAAGGAAAATACCCAGATACGAAGTATTCTTCAGATTTGATGTTGGCATTCCATGTGTTCACACATTGTATACTGGCACTGTATCTCCTCCGCCCGCTCAGTAAACCATCCAAGTCTTCATCAGTCTCCAAAACATTTCATTTCACCTGAACCTGGCTCAGTGTATGGTTCGTTCTTTGATTATTTCGTTTCAAAACTAAATCAGAAAAAACAAAAAACTCTTTTTGGTTTTTCCATTTTAAAACCAAAATGCTCCAGGGGCGTGCAATCTGACCATCTGTTGTTTTCTGTTTAAACAAAGGAGCTGTGTGAAACAAAAAGTCAATATTACATATTAAGCTATTTATTTTATTTTAGAGACTATAGTCTAAGGCTGTTTTTTCAAGTCGCATCTCCTATCAACTATGGCAAATATGATTGTAGAAGTGAGCACTATAGGCCTATTATAGCCACATACGAAAAACTAAATGAGAATATACTTGTTTTGCAAGATTGCGTCAAGTGGAGGAGCCGCTCAAAATTCTCCAATTTCTAGATTAAGTACGTCAGCATCAAGGAAGCATTTTGTTTTGGGGATCTGACGCAGCTGGTAACCTCTACGATCTAATCCTTAATCACTTTCTAACCATCTCCAATGGTTAGCTTAGCATAAAGACTGAAAACATAAGGAAGCAGCTGGCCTTGCTTTGTCCAAACTGTCAAAATCTGCTTAAGCTCACTAATCAACATGTTACATGATGTTTAATTTGTACAAAAACCAAAGTGAAAAAACAAGCACTTATGTTTGTGGTATTAGAGCTTTGAAGATCTGAATACCCTGACATACGATTTTAAGCTCAGGAAAAGCAAGTATAAGTAGACCTTTAGTTGAGATTGTTTGGTCAGCTGCTGTTTCCAAGGTCAAGAATATGAACTGCCCAGTTCCCATATTAAGATCAGAGCTAGATTCAAAAGTGGCAGAATTTTTTTAATCAACACATTAGGCTATACATTTGTTTGATATATTGTTGCCACTGAACACAAGCATCATCAAATGTGCTGATTTTGAATTTTCTCAGATAAACAGAAGGATTAGTTGTTACTTAGGTTGAGAAAATTCGCCTAGCTCTGAATCTAAATACACTTTTTACAAACCGGAGGATTGTCTGAAAAAATGCACATTCAAAGCGCTCATAAAAACTTGACGTTCTGTTGTGGTGGCAGCCGGCTGATGCTGAGGTCCTGTTTATCCTTTTTTCTTGATTCGTTTCCCTTGTGTTTTGGCCTGCCTCTCTGTGTCTCCCTCTCTCTCTCGCTGCCTGAGCCCAGCTGACGATCCACACCTGCACTCGTCAGCCACCTCCTCTGCCTGCCACACCTGCCGCAATCAACTCCATCCCTGCCAGTATTTCAAAACATTATTTAATCCACACAATCTCTGCTTGATCGTCGTTGCACCTGACCTGGTGCCACTACTTGCCTCAAGCCTTTTTTGCTACATTTCTGTTCCTGTTCTGTTTTCCCTGCTATAACCTGTCTGTCTGCCTTTCCCCAGGTCCACTCACCTCCGTCAAGTCAGCAGCTTCCACGGTACTCTCTCAGCTCCCCCTCGTGCCTCTCAGTCAGCCTGCCAC